GAGGAGGGTGGGAAAGCCCTCTCAGGGCCCTAATTTATGATTTTCCGACAGCTTCCTTCCTCCCATCACTCCCTTCTAGCCCCTGTCCCAGCTCTGTGAGGCAGGAATGAGCTGGGTAACAAGGGCAACTCCAAGAAGCATAAATAACGGCTGGGCAGCTGCAGGCTGTCTGGGTCTCCCTATACCCAGCTCTGGTCCTGTGGGGTGCCCTTACTGGAAGCACAAGGGACAGCAGAGCCAAACCCCCTGATCAAAGGAACAGAGAGCAGCCATTGTCCCCTAAGCTGGAAGCACACTGGGAAGTCCCAGCCCTCAGGCCCTGCCCTTTGTCTAGGCATGGGCTGTGAAGGCTGCTACCATTAATGCGGCCCCTTCCATTTCATAGTGTCTAGGCACTGCCCCAGCCATCAGGCCAGGGTCCCTCGGGGCTGCTACCACATGCTCTGGGCACCCTTTGGCCTACACAGGCTGCTACCTCACCTATAGAATAAGCAGGGCATGGGTGCTGGGCCCACACAACCTCATCTATCAACAGGGCTGATATTATGAGGCACCCTGAGCTGGGGAGGCTGTCCTGTGGGACTCAGCAAGAGGAAAGAGGCCCTTAGCTAGAGCTCTGAGGGAGTTCACAGGGCAGGAGGCTGCAGCCCAGGTTTGTTTGTTATGAGGAGAAAGCATTTCCTGTTTGGACTAAGCCAGGGTGAATGCATCAGTGAATCCACACCAGATGGCTGTGTTTCCCAGAAACCCATGCCCTGCTCTGGGAGGGTGCCTATGTGTGTGTCCCCGTGTGGTCCACATGTGTGTGGGTCCAGGTCTTGGTGGCATGTGTCCTTGTGTTCTCTCTGGCCTCATCAGCCCCCAGATGGGAGCCCAAGTTATCCCTTACCCCAAAGAAGCCCCCCTGCAGGCTCAGCCAGAGGGTGGCAGTATGGTCTGGTGGGTGAGCTCACTGGCCAGCACCCATCACCCACCAGCTGTGGGCCCTGCACCTGGAGATAATAACACTGCCTCTGGGTGGCAGAGAAGAGGGCAACAGACAATGCAAGCAAAATGCTTAGCACAGCGCCTGGCACACAGTCAGCACTTGGGAACGGAAGCTGCTGTCGTTACTGGCGGTTGTGGTCTGGTCTTGGCAGCGGAGAGGACAAGGCCCCCACGGGGGAGGCTCAGCCTGCAGGGACAGGGCTCTGAGACCTCGAGCCAGCCAGCCCCTCTCCTCCCTATGTCAGCAAACACTAAAACCTCAAATGACCAAAACCCAGGGCCTGTGGCATTTCCTGCCTTTCCACTCAGCTAGGAAAGTGAACCAGAAAGTTAGCTGACTTTACCAGGAAATTGAGCCATTAAAGGGGGCTCTGGTTGTGGCCAGGGCCACTGCAGGGAGACCTGCAGCTTTCATATTGTCCCAGAAGCTCAGACTCTTAGCAAGAGGGATTTAAAAAGATTCTAGGGCTTGTTTTTTCAGGCAAGGAAATGAGGCTCAGAGAGGGGAAGTGACTTCTCTCAGGTCACACTGCTCACTCGCAGTGATTGCTCTGTAATTGACACGGCTGAGCTAAAGAGGCACTGAGCTTGTATGGTGGTAACCACCAGACTGCACTACCACAAGGCACGGCTATAGTTATAAATAAATACTTGGACCAGGGGACCCCAATCTCAGCAACGACAGGCCCCTCTCTAACATAAAAAATGTTCATGACAGCCTTTACCAAGGTAGTCACTTGCTGGAGAAATTCTGCAGTGACCTGAATCTTTTATGTTTGGTGGCATTAGTTAAAGAATGTGATTGCCATTGATCACATGAACATCTCAGACAGGTTGCAAACAGACCTAATGGTGCCTTCTCATTCTATGGCACCTATCTGAGGTCCCAGACACCTCTCAGTCCCTCCAGGGCCCCTCCTACGACAGAAGCCACTGTCCTGTGCTTCTCCTTCCTATACAGCTGCTTGCCCTTCAAAGTGCCCCTTGAGATGATGGTTTACGATTCCAATCATTTGATCAGGGTCTCAGACAGGCCTGGGATCCTCTTGGGACATGGTCCCTCAGGAGTAACCAGTCACCTAGGAGGCTGAGTCATTGATCTAGCTGTGTTGAAATCAAGGCCTATAGCCAGGCCTTGTGGTGGGCACCTGTAGTCCCAGCTACTTGGGAGGCTGAGGCAAGAGAATCACTTGAGCCCAAGAACTTGAGTTGCTGTGAGCTATGACACCATAGCACTCTACCGAGAGTGACAAAGTGAGACTTTGTAGGAAGGAAGGAAGGAAAGAAAAAAGTTGCATTTCTTGGGGGGCCACAGAAGATGCCCCAAATTGTCACATGGAAGGGAGGGAGGCAGCTCCCTAGGGAAGCAAAGTTGGCACCATGGTGATGAAATTGGAGAAGTGATGAGCACTTGGGGAACCATGTGAAACAAAGGATGGTGGGTCTCAGGGCATTACCACGATATCTCAATTCTCCTCACACCCCCGAAAGGAAGGTAAACTGTCCTCTTTACAAAAGAGAAACTCGGGCTCAGAGAAGAGCAGAACTTGTCTGGGCTAACTTGGGCAGAAATGGCAGTGACAGAGTTTTTTTGCTTTTTTGTTTTTTTTGAGACAGAGTGCCATGGCCTCAGCCTTGCTCACAGCAACCTCAAATCCTGCGCTCCACCTCAGCTTCCCTAATATCTGGGACTACCCAGTTCCACCACAATGCCTGGCTAATTTTTCTATTTTTAGTGGAGATCGGATCTCACTTTGCTCAGACTGATCTCGAACTCCTGATCTCAAGTGATCCTCCTGTCTCAGCTTCCCAGAGGGTTAGGATTACAGACATGAACCTCCATGCCCAGTCAGCATTTAAACCCAGCTCTCTCTACCCATCCCCCCGGGGACAGAGAATCAGCTTATCAGCTTCTTCTGTATGTGCACACTGGTGATGTCACCCCCATACTGACTCGGCCTCAGGACCTGGTGTGTTGAGGAGAGGCAGTCCCCAGAAATCAGAGGTGGGTGCTGACAGATCCTCTGGGGAGTGTTTCTGGCATGGCAAAAACAGGCCCATGGCTCATGGTGGGCAAGGGGTTCGCCAGACAGGGGTTCGCCAAACGGGGGTTCACCAGACCAGGAATGTCTGGTGCATATCAATTCAGGTGGAGAGAGGGGTTAGAGACTGCTCTGGGAGGTTGAGGGGCTTGGATCCCCTTGGATGAAACCTCTAGTCCCTTCCCATAAACACACCCTCCTATCATAGACACACTTCATATACATGCACATAAATACATTCAGGCCTGTACACACATCCATCACATACACACATGACAGTCACAGCACAGACACGCACCCCCCTCCCACAGACACACTACGTTTGCATATACCTTGGAGGGATGCAGAACCCTTCCCTCAGAACCCTATCCATGTACCCCACATGAAGAAATTCCACACAACGCCAATCCTTACCTTGTTACAGACCGGGAGCTGAGGCCCAGACCAACATGCTGTCTATACTCTTCCCTAATTGTGGTTAAAAGCTGATACCTGGCTGAGCATAGCAGCTCACACTATTAATCCTAACACTGTGGGAGGCTAAGGCAGGTGGATTACTTGAGCTCAGGAGTTCCAGACCAACCCGAGCAAGACCCCCATCACTACTGCAAATAAAAAAATTAGCCAGATGTGTGATGTATGTGCCTGTAGTCCCAGGTACTTGGGAGGCTAAGGCAGGAAGATCCCTTCAACCCAGGAGTTTGAGGTTGCTGTGAGCTAAGGTGACTCCACTGCACTCTACCCAAGGCTACAGAGTGAGACTCTGTCTCAACAAAACAAAACAAAACAAAACTGACACTCTCTGAAGTGAGGAGATCTGGGTTTAAACCCTGACTCTGCCAACCACTGCCGGGATGCTTCAGATAGATGACATCTCCTCTCTGTGCCTCAGTTTCTACACCTGTAAAATGGAAATAAGAGTGGACAGGACACTTAGGGGATCAGCTCAGGTCTTTTCCTCCCTGCGGGACTGTGAGTACCTGGGCCTCGGTTTTCTCGCGTGTAAACTAGGAATAATGTACCCACCTCAGGTAGAGTGGTTTTTTTTTTTTTTTTTTT